GTGGTATTTAATTTGATTTTGTTTAGGTTCAGTAAAAAAAATGAAGGCTTCTGAAATTGCCATGTTTCTTTCAAAAGTGAAAGTTCAAATATACTGGGTCAAGGTTGTCACCATCATATACACATAAGCATATACACACACAAACACACACACAGACCAGGTTATTACTGAGTGTTTTCATATTGATTCAATAATTCATAATAATTCATTCACACATATTTAGTGCCATGAATAACGCACAAGGTACTATGTTAGCTGCTGTAAAAGATGAAAATACAGTTGCCAATACAAAGTCTCTAGGAAAAAAAACAAATCTATAGTCTAATAATGTGGCTGAGTGTGGCAATTGCCATGAGAATTGTAGAGAGCAAGTTCTCTGAAACTTCAGAGAGGAAAAAAATGATGTCCATCTCCGATGGTAAAAGATGGCATCATGAAGGAAGGCCCTTTTGAACCGGATTAAAGGATTGTCAATATTTAACAGCCAGAGATCGACAGCAGACATTACATTTGAAGGGGATGGTAATAATACAGGTACTGATATGAGAAAAGTCAGTCCTTGTTTGGGGAAGAACAAGGGGTGCTGCTTACCCAGAGAGAAGAATTTGTATGCAGAAACAATAGGAGATGAGGCCGCAAAGTTAGAGGGAGTTCTTTGCCCTCAGCTTAAAAAGCACTAATGCTGCTTGGGAGACAACTGTATATCCAAGCTCCAGAATTCCCATGAGAAGGGAAGAAGTGATCTCTGCAGTCATTTATATAAGCCTGCTAAATAGTATAACTATAAGTAGTTGTTAGAACCCATAGAGAAGGGGAGGTTAATAAAATGACAGAGAATTGTGGCTTTAAAGTTGGATTGACCTGGTGTTTAATCCTAGCACCACCATTCAGCTCCATGTGACACTTAGCAAATCAACTATCTGTGCTTCAGTTTCTTCATCTGTAATATTAGAGTAATAATAGTACATATCTCATAGGGATATTGTGAAGATTAAATGAGATAATTAATCAAAAGCACTTAGCATAATTTCTGACTCTGTAAGTGGCAGTTGTCGTCATTTCTAACCAAGATTTAACCTTGACTTTATCAAGCAGCCCAACTTAGGGTACCTTCTCTTAGAGTTTTTTATGGGCAGGTTTCATCCATTGCCTCCAGCAGTACCCTGTGTATTTCCCCTTGGCTGATGCCTCAAACATCATCACTCACAGTTTTCTGGGACACATTGAAAGCCTCATCTATTGGGGCTTGCTGACAGCATCCTCCCTATATTGCATTCCTGGTTTTCCAAGCTGTGCTTCTGATGTGTTTCTATCTCTTCCTCCTGGCTTCTGTGGTTACCTAAAATACGTGGATATCTGTATCTTTCTTATCTAAAACTTTTATGGTTTCTCAATCACTTCTTAATTCTGTCTGAAATGCTAAGCACTCCCTATTCTCCCTTCATCAAGTACTATATTCTGTTACTTTTGTGTATTACTGATTCACAAACTTAAATTTCTCTAACGCAAAAAATGTGAAAGATATGAGAAGCAAGAATGCGATGTTGAGCAAGGGTGTAATTTCGGCGTAAATACTGTTAGCTTGTTATATAATGATTATTGAAGAATGAACTCTGTTATCAATTAAGTTCATTTAAAAATTCAGCCAAGGTGAATAAGTTGTGGAAAGTGTCAAAATTATTTCATTTCAAGGCCAACTTATTTATAAAGTAGTCTTAAGGTTTGAGTAGTATGACACAAATTAAAATTGAAAACAAATTTCTAGAATGAAAGATTTTCTTTATTTAAGATACTCTTGATTTAAATTCCTGCTCTTTTTTTAAAATGATATATGTTAAAGAAATGCTTGAACTTCTAAGATCTTTATTCACTTGTAAAGCAGAAAAGCAACTGCTATTTCTAACTAGTGCAGTAATACCTGCAGGGTAAATTTAAAATATTATATGAACAATGATTTGATTCAATCTGTTGAATGTTTAATAATTCAGTTTATGTTGAAAGTGCCTGTATGCTATACCAATGACATTTTTGTGGTTTTTAATATCTTCCAGCACCTCCGGTTTTCATACA